AGAGAGAGAGAGAGAGAGAGAGAGAGAGAGAGAGATTAAGCTGCCTTTTCATGGGCCAAAACTTGTAGTCGTGCATCAGTGTCATTTTTATTTTAAAATTCATCTTTAATTCATGCCCAGTGAGTTTATTCAATACCATGTTAAAGATTGCTTCGTCTACACCAGAACTCCTAAGTAGTGTGAGGGTTGAGGGTTTATTTTTTGTTTTCTAACATATGTGTTATCCAGTTTCTTTTTATGCAGCCACGCCAGGTCTTAGGAGGATATGTGGACAGCATTATCTCAAGCCTCGTACTAAACGATGTCAAAATACAGCCAGAAAAGGATATTAACAAGGAGGAAGGAGAAAAGGAGGCAAGAGGTGGCTACATGAGTATAAAGCTTCCTCCAAAAACCACTCAGATTTCTGCTTATGTAGAAGTCTGAGAGAAATCCTCTCGAAGCCTTGGTCCAAGCTGCAGCGCCTTAGTGCACCAAAAGCAAAAGAAAACAACTGAAGGAGGCCAGGCCAATCAAAGGAAAGTCACATATTACCGTCAGAATAATCTGATATTGTATCAAATTTACAAGTTGAATCTCAGCTTAACATATCATGTGCTGAGATGTTACCTCATCCCATCATAAAGTCTGCCATCATAGACAAGTCACAGTTCTAGGCATATGACTTTTTTGGAAAAAAATACTAATTATGCTAATATCAAAAAATTGCCTTCTCCTATTGATTTTGCAATTGACTAGGTCCTGTGATCAACTCAAACTCTATGATCATGGGGAGACCCAAGGACAAATATGTTGATTTTTAATGTTCGAACCCAAAATTGAAACCCTAATAAGTACTATTTAATAAAAAAAAATTCTCTAAGAAAGTCAAAGGTTTGTCTGGTAGCCTGAACTGGAGTGATTACAACTGCATTCACGTACAAATAGTTCTATTTTTGCTCGGTTGCAATTGTGTGCTTCATTACAAGTACAGTTGCAAATGCCCATTTGATTCTAGCTTGTGAATCATGCCGAATTTGATCATAAGATGCACTGTGCAACTCAAAACAACTAAAAAGTGATACAATCGTAATTGCAACAAACCCAAAGCAAGTACTTTAAAATTAAAAAAATATAACTTATTAAAATAGCTCAAAAAATAAAAAAACATAAACATCCAAAAATATAATAAACTCAAAAAATCCAAAATACTTGAAGTTTTTTAAAGGGTTAATTTCACAAAAACCCCCATAAACTTTGGAGAGTGTTGCACAAAATCCCCCTGAACTTTGTTTATCTTATATAACCCCCTGAACTATGGGGTATAACTATGTGTGTCTCACAAAACCCCCTTGAACTTTAGCTTATCTCATCAAACTTCCCTACTAGTAATTTGTAAATAACGAAAATGTCTTTTGAGTGAAACATTCCCAAACTTTAACCTGTCATTTACATGCAGCACAGTTAAGTAATATATTATGGAAATCTATAATGTTATAGTTATATTAGGAATAATATATTAGGAGTATAAATTAGAGTTATAGTGATTGAAAGATATTAGGAATGTAACTAAGAGAATGATTGTGATTAGGTAATTCATAATTGTGTTTAGTCCCACATTAACTACACAATAAAATCATTATTATTGTATCCCTATATAAAGGAGAGTAGTTCTAGCTTTTGAAATATGAATGAGAATCTACAATAGTTTGTTGTTTAACAATATTTTATTGTTCAACATGGTATCAAACCCACACAAACCCTAGACTCCACAAAACCATAGATCCTCACAAACCCTAGCCCCTAATCTCCCGCTATCAAACTCCTCCCTCTGCCTTACGACCTCCCTTCTTCCTGTGACTTGTTACCTTAAACAGTGTGTAGTAACTGTTCACCGCAAACAATACTGCGGTGACCGTTGGTCTTGAACAGCGCCAAGGTGTCTGTTCATTGTGAATAGTGTCGTGAATTCTTGTCCATCTTGCTTTTGATGGCCTTGTTGATGATCAGGATTGCCATTATTATTAACAATAGTCATCCTCGATGTATATGTTCTTGTCATCGCCTGTGTCGTCTCGATTTCCTTTTGTTCACCGCTCACTCAACTTGTCAACATCATTACCACTGCCGCTTGTATCCTTGAGACCTTGACACCATTAGCTATCGAAAAAAAAAGATTTGCACAGAAATTGGTTCGGTGAAGGTTATTTTCTCAGCTTCATTTGTTTGGTGGATCCCTAAAAAGAGATCATTTGTTTAGTAGATCCCTAAAGAAGGATCATTTATTTGTTAGATCCCCAAGAGGATTGTTTGTTTGGTTGATCTGTAAAGAGGATCATTTGCTTGGTTGATCTCTAGAGAGGATCATGTGTTTCGTTGATCCATGAAAAAGTCATTTGTTTAGTTGATTTGTGAAGATAATCATTTGTTTGGTTAATCCGTGAAAAGGATCATCTGTTTGGTTGATCCATAAAGATGATTGTTTGTTTAGTGGATCCTTAGATAGAATCGTTTGCTAGGTGGGTCCCTGGTGATGATCGTTTGTTTGGTAGTTCCCTAGTCGATCTGTGAAGAAGATCGAGATATCGCATTTCGTGATTTTAGTTGAGGTTGTTCGTGGTGGAAGACATATAAATAGAAGACTAGAAGATGAAGACAACTATGATGAGAAAAGTCACATATAAGATTTTAGCCTTTTTAAAGTCATGTCACAAATTGTAGTGAGTACACCTTGTTTGTAAGAAGCCGCCAAGCCGAACATGTGTGATATGCATGCTCCAGCTTGAGAGGGAGTGTCAAGGAATATATTATGGAGATCTATAATTTTATAGTTATATTAGGAATAATATATTGAGAGTATAAATTAGAGATTTGGTGATTGAAAGATATTAGGAATGTAACTAAGAGAATAATTATGATTAGGTAATTGTGTTTAGTCATATATTGACTGCACAATAAAGTTCTTGTTATTATACCCCTATATAAAGGGGAGTAGTTATAGCTTTTGAAATATGAATGAGAATCTATAATATTTTATTGTTTAACAATACTCATTCTGCTGAAGTTTTGAGCTTTTTCCTCTTAAGAAAATTTTAGTTATTTGCAGAGTACAAGTAGAGGGGTTAGGTGAGACTGGCTAAGTTTTTTTTTTTTTGGTGTGGGGTTGTGAGGCACACCATAGTTCAAGATGGTTATATGAGATAAACAAAGTTCAAAGGGGTTATGTGCAACACCCCCCGAAGTTCAAGGGGATTTCGTAATCATTTTTAAAATATAAAGTGTTAAAGTCTTAAAATGTTTTAAAAAACAAAGAGATCTAAAATTTCAAACTTAATAATAAATTTAAGAAAAAATATATTTTCTAAGAAACTCAAAATTTTTATAAAGTTTAGAAAAATAGTAATTGTAATTCCCATTCAAAAAAATTTTAAGGATCAAAAAGATGAAATTTTTTAACTAATCAAAGAATGTACAAAATTTGAACATTTTGTTCCTTTTTTTCTTTTATTATTTTAGAATAGTATCAATACATAGTTAATGGTGCTTCATCAATAAATTACATAGTTAACTTATTGTAGTTAGTGTAATGTTTTAGATGAAAAGGAATTTTCAAAATTAATCGTTCTGTTTTGTTAAGAACTTTATATGAATTTTTTTCAATTTATTAAAAGTGAAAACAAGTTGCATAAAAGAAGTTTTAATTACTAAGTGGAGACAAATATTTGCAACTATGTTAAAAATTAGAACTGCAAGTTGCAAATTTCTAAATATTCAACTGTGTTGCATAATAGCAGTTGAAACTACATGCTGGTGACAGTTGCATTCAAAACACAGTTTCCCAAAATAAATTTAGAAAATAAATCAGGACTAAAAGATCTTCCCTATAGTAATAAGCATAAAAAACTACTAAAAGCCCTGCATATTGTAACCATCATACATTAATTCGCTCAAATGAGTTAAAAATATTCTCAGGACAAGTCGATAAGTTCTTCAGTGACCCTAACCTGAAGCTGAAACCCCAGACAGGCAGACAGTACTACTACACAAAACCAATTTCTTCATGGATAATATATTAGTATGTTTCGATGTAAAGAAATCATCAAGAGTCCCAGTCTCACTCCAAGATTGAAGTCAACAAATAAAAAAGTTTGGTTCTTTTTTTAAGAGGGGTAATGGAGGGTAGGGGAGGCAAAAAGGTCCAATTTTGTTCCCCTCCGAATTGGGGGTAGAGGAGGGGAAGGATATTAACTATATAGAACTTTTAACATATAAAAACAATTTTACCTCTTATCATCATAGATGAACGGCTAAGATTTAATTTTAAAACCATTCTCCTCCGTTCACTTCACTTAAGAACTCCCAAACAAGATAAAAAAAATTATCCTCCATTCTCATTACAAAACTCCCAAACAACATATTAAATTTTCCCTTCCATTCCTTCCCCTATCCTATCTTTCCTTTCCTTCCCCTAGTTAACTCCCAAACATAGTGTACAGAATGAGCACCAAGAACACTAAAGCTCTCGCATCACAGACCCCAAAGAAAATCAAGAAATTTTTTGTAAACTGACAGATAACCAAGATACCCCAAATTTTATTCAACTTTTATGCAAAGAATTAAACATCACGAACGCATGAAAATGTCCCCTAAACATCCAGACATGCTTACAATATCAGAAATCAAGATAGCAGCAAGACCATCGCAAGATTATACAGATCCGTACCATTTGGGATGTCCCTGAGCTTCTCTCCAGGGCCCTAAAAACACCCAAAAATGCACCAAAAATCAAACCGAATTGCCTCGAAAAACCCTAGCTAACAACTCAATAACCAATCAAGAAGACTCCTTTACATTACCTGCTCGATCTTGGGGTTCTTGGGACCTCGAACCCTAGTGGGATACGGCTCGA